AGGACCCTGACCAGCCTTGTGTAGGGTCACGGTGTGGATCAGATCGATAGAACATGATTAGAATAGAAAGATAAAGTTGTTTTTTTTGATCATAAATTATAAAGTAGGCAACTGATGATCTGTGAAATTAAAACTATCCAAGACACTTCCAGGGGGTAGGTACACACGTCAGCAGATCAAAACTATAGTCATCTTTTGTTAGATTCTTTTCTACTGAGGAACAGCTCAAAAGACAAAGATACTTTTAGTCCAGGCTTACCCCTGTAGCCTCTATCTATTCAGTTAATACAGAAAGAAAGGCCCTCTTCCCTTTCACCGTTTTGGCTCAGCAGTGGACAGAGCATTTGGTATTGTACATTTCCAACCTTGATAAGAGTAAAGCCGGGCTTCTGCACTGATGACTGAGATACAGGGAAAGGAGTGGTCCAAGGTTCTAAAAACACGTTGTTTTTTTCCAGATCTTTTCTATACTATTGTCTGCCCTAGGCTGTGTGGTGGGGAATGCTGGTTAATTTGCTGAACAGAGACGCTGTTCAGCAAAGTTCATGGCATGTTAGATGCCAAGTCTCAACCAAAGCTTTGCAGCGTACTCTGGCTCCAGGGAACAAACAGGGCCTCCTTTCGAGTGAGGCACTTTGGAACTTGCCTTTGCTTCTTGTGCTTCCCAGAAAAGACTAAGTTCTCTCTTACTTCTACCAGCATTGCACTGTCAGCTAGGAGCAGAGACTAGAGCTGGGCAGGGGGAATGAGCAAAAAGGGAGCATCTAGCATTCTCTGTGGTTCTGACCCAGACAGAGGAGACTGAAAACAAACTCTCTTTACTCCGTGGCTGGCTCACCGGCATGACACAAGTACTTGGCTTGGCTGTGCATTGTGAGAGAGCTCTTGAGCCAGGGATGTTTCTAGTAGGGCTTTTCAGCCTCGTCTTGAGTCATCAATGTGGCAGGAGAGCACAGGGCTGTAGGTGGAGAGACTCTGGAGGCCAAGTGAAAGTGGCAGCTAGCTTAACTTTATAAAAAGAAACAGTGGTTCAGTGACCCTGAGCATTCTGTCTGCAGGAGAGGGAGCTGCCTGGACAGCAATAGCCATCACTGCTTCTGAATACACACAAAGGAGGCTGCCTGTCCAGAGTGGGGAATAAAAACATCAAGGAAGAGACAGAACCAATAGGAGAAATCTGACAGATAGGGTAGAGCCGGGAATGGATAATCATGATAGTTAAGACTCCTATCTGTCCCCAGGCAGTCCTATACTTTAGGCTAGATGTTAACAGAGAAGGAATGAGTGAAAGGGTCTGACGCTATGGGGAGAAGTCTTTTAGTTTTTACTCATTCCAAGGAGAAATATAAGAGAGTTAACATCTAACTTGTTTGAATAACCAGCTTTAATATTAGGATACCCAGTAACTTGTTTAGTAAACTTCCAAATCCAAAATCCCCAGGCAGGATGTTCTCAAAGTCCTTCTTCTGTAGTCATCTCTCAGGAACTGCCTAAGACCCTGTTCCTCAACCTCTCCATCTCCTGTCCAGCAGTGAGGGGAAAGTTGACAACCTACCTAATTTCTCCTGTTATTCAAGCATCCCTCTTTCAGAGGAACTCTAATATTCCAAGCAAGGTATACCTGTGTGTGTGTGTGTGTGTGTGTGTGTACACACACAAACACACACGCGCGCGCGCGCGCGACCCAACTCCGCCTCCTAAAATCTTTCCTTTTTTGGAATGCTAACCACTACAGCACAATGCATTCCTTTTTTGGATGTCTGGAAATGCTGCCACCACTTTATTACTACAAGGGGAGCTGACCAATATCCTGATGGTGAAATGGCAGAACAGAAAGATGAAAGATGTCTGATTGCAGCAGAAGCTGCTTCTTGCTTTGTTTCCCACCTTATTCCATCCTTACTGATCGATCATACCATGCATGCTAACTCTCTCCTCTGACAATTTACCTGCTTTAGAAGCTTCATGCCAAACACACTTTTCCATTCCAGCTAGCAAATGCCTGGACTGAAGATAATTAACAGATGATTTCCCAGCTCTAGCTTGAGCCACCTACCTTGAAGCTCAGGACAGCTCAAGGAAAGAGTTATCTAGGGTAAAAACCACTAGTTTTGGATGACAGAAAGGTTGTCTAGGCTTCAGAAGCTGAACACCCACCAATGACTCACCAGCTGCTTGCCTGGGAGGCAATGAGGGGGAAGAGAAAGGAAGGTGGTAGGAACAAAGCAAAGGGCAATGGGTCTAGAAGACAGAGAAGAAAAAAAATAAGAATATTAGCTTAGCATCATGAAGGCAGAGTTGTTGGCTTTCAATACTTTTGCATTTTAAAAGAATACTGTACTGGAATGGGTTAACATCATTATCTTTAGCATCCTTTTAGCATTATTCAGTAGTTAATAAAAAGAGCATTAAACCTCTGCCTGGCTGGCTTTTGGAAAAGGAACCCGAGAGACCCAAAACTCAACCACTCTTGTAGCTTCCATCTCCAGTTCTTTTAACCCTAGCCAAGACGGCCGCCTTGGATACCTTCTTCCGGTCATAAGCCAGACCGATGGCAGCCATGCAATCGATGAACAATGTGGTCAGGTTTAAGTGCCAGCGATATTCACTGGTGGAGTAGTCATAGGGAAAAGTGTGGTGGTAATTGTGGAAGCCCTCACCTAGAACAAAAACAAGGAGAAAAGTTATGGAGTTTTACTGTGGATTTCTGTCTTCCTGATCTTGGCACAACGGTTACTTAGCAGAGTATTTCAAACCTACTAGAAACTTGCTGTTGTCCAATGAACAAATAAAACCAGTCTCCTCTACTCTGAACCAAATAGATCCCCTCAGAGGCATCTTAAGAAAGGAATGGGAAGACCCTATTCACCCATCGATGTCTGGGAGCCTTTGGGGGAGGACTGGCAGTTTCTCTGAGGATAAGATCACTGGAGATAAACAGCTATTGCCAGATATGGATTTTAGATTGGAAACTTCCAGGGCTTTACTAAGTATTGGTCTGAGATCCTCAAGGCTCTATGGGTGGGGAGAGGAGAAAGTCCGGAATGAAGGGCTTTTGCTGTGTTTCTTACAAAGGTGAGCAGAGGAGTACACTTGCACTGGTACTACCCCAAGGGTGCAAGAGACCAACAGAATTGGGCAGCAACAGCCACACGTCAGAAGAAAGGAATCCCGGCCCAGGGGCCCAAGATTTCTCAGCCACTACTGGTTCAATAGATTGCTCTGACTTTGAATTCTTTGAGCTTTGCACGGTGATGCTGATAAAACATAAGCTCTCTGAGGGAATCAGAACCAAAATGCTTAGATATTCCCTCTAATCGTTGAGAGTCTGAGATGAGTAGTTCGCTTTGCTGGATACAGGAAAAACAAAGATTCATGATAATTTCTGTAACGGGTAAATCTTTGGAAACTCCACAGAGACTTCTTCACGCCTTAGCAGGACTCTTCTTTCTGAATTGCATTCAACAATAACAATACAGACAGACCCTTCTGAGGCCGAGGTAAAGCCAGGTAAAGAATAGCTAATAAAAGAGCATATTGAGCCTGTTGAAGATAAAAGAACCTCAGTAGAGTAGTAATGACATATTAATAATGAGCAAGTGAAGGAAGTCCTGCAAAGTAAATGACACCATCCAAGGCATCTCAAGGTACATCCTCTGTGACACCTAAATATCCACAGTGTGAACTGAGTAGGAGGGTGGAATGATCCCAAGGCTAAAGGTACTGACAGAGGATTCCTAAAATTTCCATAAACGACTTTGCAGCTAGGCTCTATATAAAGTACTAACCAGGCCTATACTTATCAGATTTAAAATTGAATCAGACACACATAGCCAAAAGGGGTTATAGGGTAGAGAAAAGGGGTCATTGGGTAGAAGAAGAAAAAGACTTTGCAAGTGGGGCAGCAAGATACAGCCTAAGAAAGGCTCAAGGGAGGTCAGGTTTGGCAGAGAGATGAGTATGTGACTGTAGGGAGGTAATTCAAGAAGAAAAGATTAGAAAGGCAGGAAAGGGAGCTACAGGAGAACAAAGAGTGAAGTGATAAGGGAGGGGAGCAGCAGGTCTGGAGAAATAAGTAACTGAGACAAAATAAGATATTGGGAGCCACTATGAACTGAGAGAAAGAGGTCGAAGTTGGGGAAGCTTGCTCTAGATCCATTTCAAGTACAGGATAAATCTCATTTCAGAAACTTCCATTTCTATGAAAATCTTAGACTTATAGGGCCTAGGTGATTTATTTCACACATGGTTCAGAGTTAAAACAGGCATGATGGTAGAAGATGCCTGAAAGGAGGGCAGAAAGGCATGGAAGTTAAAAAGAGATGGAAAAAAAATACCTTTAGTACAGATGGTAAAGATGGCCAGGGTTGAGAATATAAAGGAATATTTTAAAGAGGAAAAAAATGAATGCTAGGCCATGGTGTGTATAAACATGGTGAACAGTGAAGTTGCCTAAACTGGATGACCAATAGCATTGATCACTGGGGAGGAAGAGGAGGCCACTGGGTTTGCTTAAGGAAAGCTCATTTCGGGCCTTAGTCAAGATCTATATTTAGTTGAAAAGAGCGGAAAAAAAAAAAAATGGAGACAGATAGTAGAACCCTATTGTGCTAGACTGGCTATGGAGACCCATATTAGAGAGAAAAAAATTCATGAAGAGCTAGCATTAGATCAGCAAGCAGGCACTTGTGATCAAAGTAACTGCTTTATTGGGGGTTCCTTAAGCCTTATTGGGGGGAGGGGATATTCTTAGAACACAATAAAGCAGAAAAAAAAATAAACGACAGAAAACAAGAAAGGCAGGTGGTGAGAAAGGGTCACCAATAGTTGCTTTGATGTCCATCTTGGAATAACCAAACGATAAGGCATGGCATACGCTTCAAGTATGGCCTATCTGAACACAGCAAGGAGATAAAAGAGAAGTTTACTGAATTAATTTATAAGTATTTAGTCTGTATTTTATAGAGCATATTTAACTATGAACCACTAGGCTTACTGCCACTGACACTATTGTTCTTTTTATGCATTCCCTGCCCCAGACAAGACTGTAGTGTAGCCCTGAAGTGACTGGAAAAAGGAAAACCCAAAGGGGCTCATTATACATAGCGTCTAGAGATTGTTTTAGAATCTAGAATCAAAGACATTATTATTTTTTACCCTTTCCTTTTTATATAAGACTTGCTGCCTGACTCCCAAGAGTTTTCTAAGATATTGCCCCTTAGTTTTAGGGCGGAAAAACAGATAGAAAGAGGTCATAAACAGGTTAATCTTGTCTTTCTAGCTCCTAGCCTAGCCTAATACCCCAACCAAGAGACCACTAGATGTGGTCTAGCTGTGTACTGCTGACTTACCCACAGCTCCCAGTGAAACCAAGATATTCTCTCGAGGGTTAATGGTCTTGTCATAAGGGCGATATCCGTAAAGGTGGGCTGCACTGTTCACCAGCCAGGTAGCATTGAGCACTAAGATATAACGCAAGAAAGTGGCGACGTACAAGCTGTGTTGAAATGTTTCACCCCAGAAATACCAGGGCACAAGTGTGGGCAGGATGAAGCATAACAGCAAGATGGCAGGCTTGTAATACCTACATTGAGAGACCATATACAGAGTCAGTGGAGAGAGGACTCTTAGTCCTACCTGCTTTCTATTATCGCTGGGTTGGACTGTCTCTTTCCTTTTACGTTGTGAGTACAGTGTGGCATGAAAAAAAGCAAGAGGAAATGGAGTGGGAAATCTTGTGAGAATGTAGAGTTATTACCTCACTTTTTAGATGAGGCAATGAGGGGTTAAATGACTTTTCTAGGACTGCACCACTAGGAATCTGTGGAGCGAGAACTAGAATGCAGGTCTCCAGACTCTCAATCCATTGCTCTTTTTTATGGTAGCGTAATACCATGTAAAACAAATGAGGTACAAATCACAAAGTTCTCCTGCTCAGGCTGTTTTTCCATTCTGCCTTTGGGCTCCTTTCTCTTTCCTGCCAGTGTTCTTTACAGTCTCTGTTTAGCGTCTTGTCTCCATTTCCTGCCAGCCATCCTCTAATCCTTCCTCTTCTTGTTTCTCAGAGAGGCACCCTCAGCGTCCTTGATGCCTGTGGGTCTCTGTCCTTCTGGAGGCCCTGTCCCATTATTCATTGTCTCAATGAAGGCCACTGACTTGATTTCTTACATCTCTTCAGCAGTCAAGCCTTATACTCTTACATCATTGGCATTCCCTGCATCCAACTCCTTTCCATTCCTGCCACTGCTCCCCTAAAATGGACCCCCACGATCTCCTAACTTGTGGCCCTGCTTCTCACTCTTTGGCTCAATGATTTCCTTCACATGTCACGAGAATGACCTTTCTAAAGCATACCTCCAACCATGTC